GTTACTTTAATAATACTTTAGTATAACAAGATGATCTACAAAAATTAGCCAATCACAATAAAAGTTCGCTATGCTATTTAATATAATTTATATTTATAAGTTTAATAGTTATGTGCAATTAAAAGAATCAGAAGATAGTGAACTTAAAGTATATGGATTAACACAAAATACGTTTACTCATGGATATATGTTAGTATTTGATGAATTTGGTTCCAAAAGAAAGAAATATAATGGAAGATGTGCATATTGTAATCGACATAATACTTCAAAAGCTTGGTGTCAGATGTGTGATACTCAGAGAATTACTCAAGGATGGACAAGTGGAAATAAAAATATTGATGATTACATCAAAGATTTTCAACTTGGAGTTACAGAATATGAGAATGTGATTGAATGGATCCCTTTTAATAGATTAAACAATATTCAAAAAGTTGGTGAGGGGTTTACTGCAATCTGGTTAGACGGCGTACGAATAATTATAGATTTAGAAGAGGAATGCACGCAATCACGTATTAAATCGTGTGTGGAGTAACACTTAAACCTTTGTCTAATTCACCTAATTCATTGGATTTTTTAAAATAGGTAAGCCGATATTATAATTATTATTATCAGTGCTGTCAATTGAACTAATTGGACCAATCGAATATATTCCGATTGAAATTAGGCATATATTCAATTCCAGTTGAAAATACGTCTATTTAGTCCAATTGAAAATATTGGTTATTATCATTATATATTGCTTGTTTAAAATAATATCATAAACTAATTAATCTACTTTATATGTTTCAAGTTTAAAAATTATATACAATTATATGATAATGAACTTAAAGTATATGGATTAACTCAAAATATAGTTACCAATGAATATATGCTGATATTTGATAAATTTAGTTCTAAAAGAAAAGAGTATAATGGGAAATGTGCAAATTGTAACTTATATAATACTTCAAAAACCCGTGTGATAATCAGAAAGTAGTCCAAGGATGGACAAGTGGAAATAAGAATATTGATAATTGTATTAAAGAATTTCAAATTATAGCCACAGAATATGAATATGTGATTGAATGGATTCCATTTAATAAATTAGACTATATTCATAAGAATGGCGAAAGATTTTCGGCGATCTGGTTAGACGGCATACGAAAAGTCTCCTATGAAGATAAAGCATACATGCATTCACGCATGCCATCATATGTGGTAGACCTTAAAACATTGTATGGCTCTCAAAAATTATTAGATTGTCTAAAAGAAGTAAGTTTTTATTTATCACTTACTGATTAATGTAATTATGTTATTTCAACTAATGAAATATATAAGTTTAAAAAATATATGCAATTATGGGGATCAAAAGATAGCAAACTTAAGGTATTTGGATTAACACAAAACACAGCTACTAACGAATACATGTTGGTATTTGATGAGTTTGGTTCTAGTAGGAGTTGTGAAAATGGAAATTGCACATATTGCAACCGATGTAACACTTCGAAATCATGGTGTCAAACATGTGATCCTGAGATGACAATCCAAAGATGGTCGAGTGGAAATAAAAATATCGACAATTGCATCAAAGAATTTCAACTTAGGGCTACTGAATATGGGAAAGTAGTCGAATGATAGCATTCAAAAAATTGGTAATGAATTTTTTGCGACTTGGTTGGATGGAATACGAATAACTACAGGTAGTTATGAGAAATGCACGCAATCACGTTCATCATCATATAGAGTAACACTTAAGGCATTGACTAGCTCTCAGAATTCGTTAAATTTTTTAAATGAAGTAGGTGGAAATTTTGTATATTTTTTATTTTTAATTTATTGTGATAACATAATAACATGTTTATATATTTAGTAATAAAGTTTAAAAATCATATTCAATTAGAGGAATTAAAAAATAGTAAATTTGAAGTATATAGACTAACTCAAAATGTATTTACCAATGAATATATGTTGGTATTTGATGAATTTGGATCTAAAAGAAGCTATGAAAATGGAAAATGTACATATTGTAACCGATATAACACTTCAAGTGCCTGGTGCCAGACGTGTGATCCTTCTAAAGTGGCCTATGGATGGACAAGTGAAAATAAAAATATTGATGTTTGCATTAAAGAATTTCAGCTTGAGGCCACAGAATATGAAAATGTAATAGAGTGGATTACTTTTAATAGGCTGGATAACATTCAACAAATTGGCAAGGGTGGTCTTAGGTTGGTTTTTTCTGCAACATGGTTGGATGGTAAAAGTAAAGTTTCGGATAATACACGAACACGTACACCATCATGCATAGTTGCATTCAAGACATTACCTGGTTCTCAAGAAAATTTTTTAAAAGAAGTAAGCGGAAATTATTTGTTATAACTTTATGTAAAAAAATATTATAAATACATTAATTAATTCATTCTGTACTTACTGTATTTCTGCAAGTTTAAAATTTATATGCAAGTTATATCAGTAGGCAGTAGACTTGAAGTATATGGAATAACACAAAACATATTTACTAATTAATATTTGTTGGTATTTCAATATGCTAATAGAGGGAGTCTTCGAAATTCCTTAACAACAAATTTTAGTGAATATAATTGGAAAAATAAGCTGGACCTACTTATGGATATATCAAAAGATCTGGAACAAATTCATAAAGCCACTGCGACTTTCAGAGATCTAATATCTTATATTGCAGATCTAGGATTGTCTAGAACGAAAGAGGAATTTGTTTTAGTAGGAGGAGTTTATGGTGTATTACCATATGTTGCTCCAGAAGTATTAAATAACAAATAGTACACAACGACAGCAGATATTTATAGTTTTGGTATTATTATGACTGAAATTTCTACAGGAGAGCCACCTTATTATGATATTGAATATGATGAGGTCTTAGCTGTCAAAATATGTGATGGTTTACGTCCTAAATTTGCTAAAGGCACACCAAAATGCTATATTCAATTAGCAAACCAATGTATAGATGCCAATCCTTCCAACAGACCGACCGCATCTGACATTCATAAAAAATTCAAAAGCTGGTGTGAACCGTATTATGATACTAAAAGTGACAAAGAAAAATTGGAGATTAAAAAAGTATTTCAGTCTGCAGATAAAATTATTCCAACATTGACAACAAAATTATCAAGCTATTCCAAAGATAAATTTACAAGTAAACTGCTTAATTTCAAGGGTCTTTCTAAACCAATTAATTCGTCAAAAACTTATGGCAAGTAGTAATTACTTTTATTTATTTTATAGCTTGTTTATCCAATATTTCTTTAATATAGTTTCCGATGATAATTATATCATTACATTACGTATGTATTTATTAAGTGATCTAATTTACACCACTAAACCGACATTACTTTACTAATTTAGTTTACTGTATATAGCCGAATAATAAAAAAGTAAAAAATGATTTTATTATTAATTGCTGTGATAATTACAAATTTTATATTTATTATATTTATTATATATTAGTTTTCAAACTTTTGTAAAAATATATCTGTCTAAGTGTTGGCGTCAGACAGCTTATTATTGATTATTTATCATATTGCAGTATTGAATATTAAAATTACAGTCAAACCTATTTATAGTCACCTCCTATATAAGCACCATTACGGTGCATTTGTAAACTACCCCAAAATGTGAGAAAGTTTGACTACCGATAGTAAGTCAATTTAATTTGACTTCATATTTTGTCCCCCAAACCCAAATATTCGGTCACTAAATTTATTATTTATCAATTTAAAACTAAATTTCGAAATTTTTTTCACCCCATTTCCTAACCCACCCTCCCACCATTCAACCCATCTTCCTACTATATCTGCTTAATTTCCTTAATTCCGCAAATGCGCCGTAATGCATTTCCTTATATACATTTTTTAAAAACAATCTATTATTAATTTAATAAATTTGATCTTTATAATTGTCATATTTATTTACAATCACTCATTTTTTGTATCCTAAGTGTGGAATTATAGAGGTTTGACTGTAGTTTTGTTTTTATTTTATTAATTTACATATTAATATAGAAAATTTGTTATAATGCTATAGTATTATAGTTCTACCTTATATATAATTATATAATTAGTATAACATTTAAAATAGATATAATTTTTTTTTACAAAAATAAATATTTTAATAAGTATAGAGTGAAGGTCAATGATTAAGAAAAACTTTAAATTTTTTTATTTTTGTTATACAAAATTGATTTACATGTTATATCTGGTTTTGAATTTTGATTAACAAATTATACTATAGATAATAATTACCATGGTGTAAATTAATTTTTTTTAAAAATATAAAAAGTGGTTTTTAGACAGAATTTTAAGATATAATAAATTTTTTTAAAAAAAATATTTTTATTATACAAAGCTAATCTAAATATATTTAATTTTAAATTTTGATTAGTTACAATTCAAAAATATATATATATATATTATTTGGTAAAGTCATATAATATCACTCCAACTACTATTCTAATTACACTTTACCGCGGATCCATCATTACACCGGAGTAATTCTCTAGAACATTTTCTAATTATCATTTATACTATATAATGCTAATGGATATTCATTATAACAGATGTAATTTCCCAGCCAATCACTACGTTATAACGAGAGTAGGGTGTATTAGTTGAACTGGACAGCAAAGCCGCCCACATATGCAACTTCTAATTCACATACAAATAAATTTATTTTTTATTCATTTATGGAAAGCTACAAATATACTCTATTTTTACGTTTTATCATATTTGGATGAGAAATTCTATCACATTCAAAAAAAAGTAGGTTGTCATATTATTACCAATTTTAATTTAACTTTATCCTAGACTCATAACAAGCAAAGTTGTGCGGGACAAATTAACGATAAATGATAAAAGATATAGGAAAGAAAAAAATAAAATAAAATCCCATGATACTACAGTAGTCACTTTACTGAATAAGGAAGGATCGTAATCAGCCTCTCAAGTCAAAACCACTAAACATTACTCCAGGAACTGCCAATCATGCGCCAGAACAATTTATAATGCAAGGAAAAGCACAGATAAATTTGGATAGATGTCACGGAGTTACCCAAACTACCGTGTATTTGTGGGTCTATACTATCAATTAACACTCGCTTGGCAATATGACTGGTGTATCGTACCAGATACTACCACCAATATGTTCACTAAGATACAGTTTATTCACTAAGAATACTTTAAAGAACTCAAAGTTCTCTAAGGTTTAACCTGGTATCTCTCCTTTTGGATCGATACCTTATTTATTTCTTACTAATACGCATTTGTGTCACTGATTATTACATACTTTACTCATTGCTCATGCATCAATACTTTAGACTTTTAATTAAGTCGTGATCACCCGATATTGATTACGCATTAATTAGATCACGACACATACGTACCCGATCATTAATCACAGGGGTACCGCGTAGCACCGTGACAATAGATCACACGTTGTAGGTGATTTACAGTCGTCATCAGAACTGCAAGGATCATCAGGTCCACAGTTCGGAGAACAAGAAGGAGGAAGACAACTTTTTCTAGTACAAGTTAATCCACCATTGCAGTCATCGGTAGAATTGCAAATTGCACCTGCGGTTCCGCCGGGCGTACCTATTTAATGAATACAATTTAACCATTAGGCAGAATCACAATTTAACATTTGGTAATTATTGATAAGAGATTATTTACCTTCAACGAAGAGCAACAAGGTCATTACAATGAAAATGCAAAAGAATAAATTAAAATTATATTTCATGACTATAACAAAAATTTTAAGTATTCGATTAAGGTGGTTTGAATTATGTTGATTTATTTACTTTGGGTTATTTGTCGTCAGAAATGTGTATACGTATGAAGAGTATTTATATCTTTTTTGAAGTTTTGGATGTTCTCAATCACCTCATTAAATGGATCGGAAGTAAAATTTTAATTAGCCTGAAATCGAATAAACTAACCAAGCCCTATAAAAAACTTTGTCTGCTTTTGTTCAACTTTTGTCGATATTGTTCAAAAAAAGTTCAGAATGGAGTTATTATAGTATAAAAACAGAACAAAAATTGTACATTTTTAAATTTTTCAATTATAAAAAATATGTACGATTGTTGTTTTGCCTTTACTACGATAATGACTCCGTTCTGAACATTTTTTGAACAATACCGACAAAAGCTAAACAAAAACGGAACAAACTTTTTTTATAGGGAAGGTAACTTTTAAAATCGATGATTTTTTAGCTAGGTAATAATTTTATAGTAATTATAACAAAATTTTAAATATATAGATGCACAACTCTAACGGTTCGATAGGATTGGATAAAATTTTGCAAAGACTAGTATTATTTCTCTACGAAAAAAGCTATAGAATCATTTCTTTTATTTAAGCATGATCTACAAGAGAAAACCTAATTTGGTTTCTTTTTTAAAGAAATAGCTCTATAGCTTTGTTCGTAAAGACATAATACTGGTTTTTGCAAAATTTTATCCAAATCTATCGAACCGTTAGGGTTGTGCATCTATTTAAAATTTTGCTATAATTACTATAAAATTACTACCTAGCTAAAAAATCTTCATTAATAAGTTTTATTATATAACCACATATAGTTTTGATTTACATAGTACGCCGCACACCCCACTATGGCATGCCAGACACCCTATATTCAACCCATATGTTTGTCGAATGATGGTCGAGCGACAGCTTGATAGTGTCATTTCAATATTAAAATTTTTGATTTTGATTAGTAATCTCATAATATATTAAATTTATAAATCATATTTGTTTTTATAGTATTATTTATGTATACCAATAATTGTCATCGGATATGTGGAGTTTGCTCGTTTTGGTGCTTTCCTTACAAACTACTACTTTAAGAAACCTGCGACTGGTGCTTGGATATGTCGAATACTTGCTAATGTTATTATTGTGACCAAACAAACGGAATTATTACTAGTAATAGTACGCAGTGAAGACTACAAAAACTTTAACAAAAGCAGCTTTTCGGACACTGTTCATATCTTTTTGGTTGGATCAATATGTGCAATTTGGTATAGAAAAATAATTCGTCTTGGATTGTTACCATTGAGCTTAGAAGAGGAGAATTCTATGGTCGATAAATCAGATTATACATTTATAAGATCGCTATTTGTTAGATCAATTATTAATAAATTACCAAATCGACATCAGTTTGCAAGATGTTTTTTTGACTTTGGATGTTATTTCCTATTTCTTTTGAAATTTTGTACGGTGCCTCATATATCTGAAAAAGTTTTGGTTTACCTCGCACCAATGAAATAATTTTAGAAAGAAAATTTGGCGGTTTACTTGATGGAATGCTAATTTTTTTTGCCCTAATTTCCCGAAATGGCTCTTTTGTAAATGCATTTTCTTGTAATTTTTTACGCTTTTGTGGAAAAATTTCATTTAGCATGTATTTATTACATCCAATTTCAATTACATTTGTGAATGAATATGTGACTTCTATTGGATATAAAGCGGCAAGCAAAGAATCAAATGAAGGGGAGAAGGCTAATGTGATATTGGATGCAGTGATGTTGTCATTTGTGACAACAGTTATTTTAGCATGGTTCTACTTTAAATGTGTTGAAAGGCCTTCTATGAACTTAGTTAACTATATTGCGAAGAAATGGTTAAGTGAGGTGAAGCCTGATAATAAAAAAATTTATTAATTTTCATTTATCATGATAATAAGCTTACTAATTTTATTGAGCTTAAAATTTTGACTTATATTATAGATAGTTTATTCAACCAACTAATCATTATTAGATGCTTATTTTATATAATTACTAACATAATTTTGAGGTTTACATAAGAAAAATAATTACCATGTCTGAAACGGTCATTTCAAACCCCAACTATTTAGTTTTTTGCTATAAAAGATTCATTTAACTTAATATGACTTTTAAACTTCGATTTAGAAGTTTATTATAAGCAGTCTTATCGTTAGTTATCCGGTAAACTCATATGATCATGGCGCAGCATTGTACTGTTATTTTTTAACCGATTTTGGCACAATGCCAAATATTCATATATTGCCCAAATATCATAATTATATGCAATTTCAAGCATACGTGAAGCTAAGTAATTGCATTTTTTATTTTTATTTTTTTCGTTACAGTACTAATTTAAGTTTTACATTTTTATCAAATTAAAAATGAAAAATGCAATTATTAAATGTATTCTTGGTAAGGAATTTTTCAATAAATTCCTTACCGCCACTTTTATTATTTCCATTTTGTCCATTTTCCCAAATGCCTTGGGGTACAATTTCTCCCAATACATTTTGTGTTTGTGGAGGTCCTGGTGATTGCTTCTGGTGGTTCATCAGTGCTGATTGCTTCTCGGCAGTAGTTGCTTCTAATGGTCCATCTGTATTAACAATTGATGATACTTCAAGATCTTTGATATTATTTGCAAGCTTACTAGCAAGTGATATCATTGAACTTGCTCATATAAAGTCCCCACTTGGATACTTCATATGATCTGGCTGTGTTTTATTTTCTAAAATAGAAAAAAAAGCTGAAATAAATGAAATTTTAATAAAAAAACTTAAATTCCAAATTAAATAAATACCTTTAAATGATTCTTTCTTGTTGTTTATATGTGTTAAAGCCCTGAAAAATCTGTTGAGACCCTCTTGCTGCATAATCATCTTTGGTCATTCATATATGGTCAGACCTTTCTGTGACTTATGCCTTGTAATTGACATGACCACAGTGTTAGAATATTTAAGTTTCTTCAATACTTGAACCACGGTTTTTTGACCTAAATGGTTGGATATACTATGACCACCAAATTGTATATCTATGGATTTACAAATATCTCAAAAATAGGTTCTTAATTTTTTTTCACCTATTGCTTGCCCATAGAACCATTAACTACTAAACTCAACTAAAAAATAAAAAATATTAGTATAATTAAATCAAAAAATCTCAAAATAAAATAGATATTTACTAGTATTCACTAGAACTAGTTTTAAATAAAAGCTTTTTACCTTTGTGGCTAGGTGTTTAACAAAATAGAATTCATAGTCATCAATTATACATTTAATGTTTGGCAAACTAATAACTTCAGCTTGTCTGTTATAATTATCAAATTTTTATTGATTTGTTTTTGATCAATACAATTTCACATTAATACTTCTTTTAAACCTTTTTACAAAATTATCTATTTGAAGATTATGATGTTTACTACCTTGTTGAGCCAGAAAAATTGAATTATAAAAAAAATATGCTACAAAAATCCTTCCAGATTATTGTGCTGCATAGTATAGTGGGCAAAAATCTGCCCAACTTCTTGCAAGGTTAACCCATCAGGTCTAGTACATTTACCCAGATCTTTTGCTAATAGATTTTTGATTTTACTATTAATAATAGTATTTAAATTAAAATACACCTTGGGGTTAAAAATTTTTACAGGCTTCGGCATTACTGAATATTGGTTTAGGTGCTGCCAGATTGCAGCTATACAGTTACAGATTGAAGATACATGGTATTTACTACCTTTTTTTTTTTTCATAGCACAAACAAATCTTGAAAGTTGGTCTTCAAGAATCTCTTTTGAATTGGTTTCTTCAATTTTACTTTTATAGCCTATGTCAAAACAAAACTCTTCAAGAGCTCTGATTCAAATCTCTGTTGCTTTGTGTGTTACTTGTACTCTTGCATTTCTATGAATAGCTTCAAGTTCCTTAGAGATAGGCTCTATATATCTAACCTGCTAAAACTTTTTGTAAGTTTTGTTTTAGTTTAAAGATAAAAGAAAAAAAAAAGCTTTACTTTATTTTTTACAGTAGAAATAGTACCAATGGCTTCAATTTCAATATTACTACTATTTAACCCATTATTGCTTATACTTGACTCTTCAATACTGATTATAGCCAAAACAACTTTTCTTTTTACATTACTGGTCTTACTGTATGTGATTATACTTGAAACAGTTTTGTTCGTTGATTTTTTTGCCTCAGATAATGAATTGGCATTTATCTTTACAGTATCGAATTCATTCAATATAATCTTAGATTTTGGCATTGTTATACTTACATGGCTCTCAGTATATATTTTACAGTATTAAAAGATAAAAGAACTGTTTTTATTAATAAAAATATACTATTAGTAAAATTTCACTGCACTAGCAAAAAAGAAAAAAAGTCTTTTTTTTCTATATGATTATCAAATAAAATCTATATAGAGAGGAGCATCAGGCATATACTTATTTGCCTCTATAATACAAACCTTATTTGGTAATAATTATTGCTACTTAAAATATCTAAAAAAATCTTTTGTGCTTAAGCTTATACTCGCTTAAGCTTACACTTTAAATATAAATTATACTAAAAAAAATATAAAAAAGATAAGAATCTACTTATACAAGCTTATACTCACTTAAACTTATGCTTTAAAAATAGTTTATACTAGAAAACTGAATATAAAAAGATAAGAATTTGCTTTTTTAAATATTTTTTACTTAGTTATTTATAAGCATGCTATAAGATTAAATAAGAAATAATATATCAAAGAATATTATTATAAAATAATTAAGAAAGACACAGTTGACGATTTATCACATTATTATATATTTTAGTTTTTTGAAATATATTGAATAAATACAAATTATTATTATTTTTTTTGGTATTAAAGTAATCTCTTTGGCTGAGAAATGTTTTATTAGAAAGTTATTACAGTAAGAGTACATTAAGCTACATATGCACTTTTTAGGTGTCTAATTTAATTAGTCCACCCAAAGGTTCTACACTATCTGCCCTATCTGTACTCCAACTAGGGGAGTACTCATTTAAACTCTCTAACTATAACCTACTTCCAAACCAATAGATGCTCTCTAATCTGAGATGTAGCTTACTATACACAGGTAGTTTGCTATTGCCCAATCTGATTTTGCATTTACTTTAGAACTTACTAATCTCTAAAGGCTAATTTATCTATAAGATAAACCTAATATAGTAGTCCACGTTTTACACATATATTCACCTGCATATTCAGTAACTTTTTTCTAGTTAGTACCTGTTGTGCTACCATCACTGGGTTCGTATCTCAAGCCAACTTTTGGGGTGCTGCCATAACACAATCAATATTTTAAGCCACAACTTTCCTAATTAGTTGCTAATTATAAACTCCTGTCTTTGTAAGGTTTATAACAATTCCAGTATTCACATTCCAACTATCTTCTTATTTGGATTTTTTATCAGTTCCTCCCTTACTTCTAGCTGACAACCTAGACAGGTTGGTCTGCCTAGGCTTTAGATGCCTAAAGGATGCTCTCCTCTTGGTCTATACTTTTAAAGCATATAGCCTTTTCTTCTAATATATCTAAACTAGTGGTTCAGCTAGTATGTCCCTCCACTAAAGGACCTGATTACTCAGTTCTCTAATCTCAGGCCCTAGTTTAAATTCAGCCTTCATGTAGTATTATCGAAGATCACTGCTATCTCCAAACTCGAAACTTTCCAAATGGGCTTCGATCTTTGGTTTTGTGAGCCGTGCCGAGCAAAGCCCACAGATTACAGCTTTCTGAAATCCTTTCACTGGCTCCACAGACCAGATCACTAAATTTTTCATAGCCAATCTAAGTAAAGATCATTGTTTAGCATATTCCATTTCTTTTCAAAAGCGTCGTCTCTGGAATTTGAACTTAGAACCTATACTATTACTGTTTAGTGAGGGTGACAACTAAACTATTTCACTAAGATACTATACCTCAAATAAATACAAATTATATATATATATATATATTGTTAATAGTTTGAAATTTAATTAACTAATTTAAAAACTTATCTGATATTTAAATATATGAAAATTATCTTCTTTGCTTTTCAATATACACATTTGGAGATAATTTCATTTTTTGATTTTCATCTACTCAGTTTTCTGGTTAAAATGATCTGTCTTGCTTGTGAGCATCTTCAAGAATCCATAAAATCTGATCATAAACAATTTGTAAGCAATTAATATCAAGATTTTCAAGATTTTGTATCATTTTTTGAATATTATAATAAAGCTCTTTAATAGTAAATTTTTGATGTTTTAGTGATTGATAGTAAGCAAATTTAATATTTTTAAGAGGTGGTGGAAAACAGTGAAAAACTACAGCATATATATAGTTGCAAGGAAGTCTTCATTTTATAAAATCTATACAAATATATATAAACTATCATTCAAGTTGTTCATGTTTTAAATTTTTTTTTACAAAGTACTTTATATTTTTTTTTATTTTTAATACAACTGTCCAGTAATATTCTCCTCTATTGATTTCTAGAACTGTATCTTTTAATGCTTGTATTTTTATTTTTCTTTGACAAATTTCTCTCTTTCTGCTAGCATCATTCATCCTGCTCAGATATCAGCCAAATATTGTTGATACTGTATATCGCTATCTATTACTACATATAACTCATATATCAAGATATTATTATACTGATTGTGCTTCTCTTCAAAATTATCATACTTTAAACATTTATGCTATAACTCAAGCATATTTGTAGTATCAATTTTAGCAGTTGAAATATCCATTTTATATGCTTTTATCCACATTGTTTTGTTAATATTATAAATATTATTTTTTTTATC